GTGCTAAGCTGTGCTCTGCTGTGCTATGCTATGCTGTGCTATGCTATGCTGTGCTAAGTCATGCTATTCTATGCTATGCGATTCTATGCTGTGCTATGCTATGCTATGCTATGCTGTGCTATGCTATTCTATGCTGTGCTGTGCTATGCTGTGCTGTGCTAACTTATGCTATTCTATCCTATGCTATTCTATGCTGTGCTCTGCTCTGCTCTGCTATGCTATTCTATGCTGTGCTATGCTGTGCTAACTTATGCTATTCTATGCTATGCTAATCTATGGTGTGTTGTGCTATGCTATGCTATGCTATTCTATGCTGTGCTGTGCTATGCTATGCTGTGCTATGCTATGCTGTGCTAAGTTGTGCTATTCTATGCTCTGCTGTGGTGTGCTATGTTGTTCTGTGCTATGTAGTGCTATTCTATGCTATGTTCTTCTATGCTGTGCTGTGCTGTGCTCTGCTCTGCTATGCTATGCTGTGCTATGCTAAGGTGAGCTATGCTATGCTGTCCTATGCTGTGCTATGCTAAGCTGAGCTATGCTATGCTATGCTCTTCTATGCTGTGCTGTGCTGTGCTGTGCTATTCTAGGCCAAGTCAATGCTTTCCTCTGGAACTGCTTTGGCCTCACTTCCTAGCTATTACATCCTTGTCTGGGTCACCACAGTTCATATAAACTTCCATTCCTCAGAATCCTTATATCACTTTGTTTGCACCCCTTTTATGACACATTCTACAAACTGCTTAGTACCTTAATTCTGTGATAAAGTTGCTACTCCATTACCAAGTTGGAAATCCCTGTGTTCAATAATCAGCCTGCCCTCTTTCCCAGTGTTGAAAGTTGATTTTAGAGGTCAGCTTGGCTAGGCCATAGGTACCCAGTTGCTTGGTCAAATACTAACCTAGGTATTACTGTGAAGATCTGCTGCAGATGTGCTTAATGTCTCCAATCAGCTGATTTTAAATAGAGCAGATTACCCCCCATAATGCAGGTAGGTGTCACCCTACCTACTAATTGATTGAAGGCCTTCTGAGCAAAGTCTGAGGATTCCCAGGGAAGAAGGAATTCTACCTCAGGAATAGAACATGAAAGTCCTTCCTGAGCTTCCAGCTGCCGACCTACTGTGTGGATTTTGAACTCAAAACTGAAACATCAACTTTTCTCTAAATTTCCACTCTGCCTGCCTGTCCTGCAGATTTTGGAGTTGCCAAACCTCTATAATCATGTGAACTAAATCCTTAAAATAAATTTCTCTCTCTCTCTTCCTCCCTCTCTTTCTCTTCCTACCGGTGTATTAAACATAGCTATATTTGTTTCTCTGAAGAACCCTGACTAGTATGCCCAACTCAGGGCACGTGATTAGGATATTCCATTCTATTCAAAATCCAACCAATTCCATTTGTTTCCATGTATCTCAATAATGTGCATCCTTCCTCAATACAAAATCTCGCCACCACCCCCAGCTACAAGTTGAGAACTCCAATGGCCTGGAAAATTGTGCCTATCTTTTGAAAAGCCCCCTTCTCTGCATCATGGGGTCTCTGTCAAAAAAAAAAAAAAAAGTGCCCTTAATCAGGACCTCTGGCAATTCTGAGCAGTCCCTGTCCCCTCCTGATCATGTTCTGGTGACAAGGAACTCACTACTATGATGGTATTTCCTTAGGTGCAGGGAAGATCTGGAGCAGCATCTCTTCCTCATAACCAGTGGAGCTCACAGTACACTGACATCAGCCTGGGCTTCCAAAGCTATCACCTGTTTACGTTTTTTACGCTTACACACACACACCTGCACTCCTCCTTGGCCAAGAGGTGTTCTAGCATCAGCCATACCCTGATGCCCTGGGTCTATTTCTAATGATGATGCTGGCCTTGGCCACCACTCCAGACTGCCCTCCTCCTTAAAGTCAATTTCTTCTTGAGGACTTCATTTATAAACAGCCGTCCTCAATCATGGTCACTTCAATCCACCTGACATACTATAGATCACCAAACCTCAAATGCAAAGGTATCTCTCTGTTCCCCTCCTCCAAGAGACCTCCTTGGTCCCTATCCAAATTTGCCTTACATCTGCATAACTGAAAGGCACCACAAAGTTGATCCTTTGTGGAATTAATAAATTAACAATTACTATTATATGCTGTGCTGTATAAATAATAATTTTAATTATTAATTATTAATAGTATTAATAATACTAAATTAATGTGTTCACCTAGCTACCAATAACTCATTAATGCCATTTTTTTGCTTTGTTTTGAGTACCATTCACCATGCATCTCCATCAGTTATTTCTCAGGAAACATATCTGGAATGGATCAATCGATCGACGAATCAGTTCTCCTGTGGTCCAGGCATTCTGTTTTTTCTTCCCACTCCAGACCTCAGGAATTTCTCTTCCTGTATTTTATGGTATTTATATTTAATAAAAACACGTTGCAATCTCACACTCCGCATATAGTTGTTGGATGTATGTGGATCAAGGCCTTTTGAAACCAGGCAAAGGACCCTGTACTTAATTTGTTAAGCAATGGGGAGCCATTGAACCTGAGCACTTAATTTCAAAGTAATAAAAGACTAATTCTCTGCCCTATCAAGACTACAGATTCAACATACTGTGTATTGGGATTTTTTTAGAGCAAGGGATAGCTCTGTTAACTTTTTTAGTTTCCTTTCCGAGATGCTCCTGGTAAGTGCTTCATGTCTGTAAGCCAGGACCAGAGCTCTCACAAGCACCTGTAAAAAAACAATTCCAGATCAGAGAATTTTCAAATACTCCTTATTTTTGCAAATCACATTTTAAAAGGAGAGCATTTGCATATGCAAGGTGTCATCCCATGGAATATCCCTTATGCCCAGTTTCATAGAGCAATTATGTCTGCATTTTTGAACTGGCACCACCTTCAAAATACGTCCACGCAAATGGCACAACGGACATAAGTACTAACTAACCAGGCCAATTATCCAGACTTGCTTAGACTAATCAAGTGAGGAAGCAGCTTCAGTCTGTTGGATCTTTTTTGAACAACTACCAGTAAAACACGAACTTGTTGGGACTAGGAAATAGCACAAACACAATTTGCGACTTAGAAAGAGATTCTGCATTCCCCGAAATGCAGGTCCTTGCTCACAAAGCTTGGTCCACAGCCAGGCCTGCCTCCAAAAGTACTTTGAAGAAACGTCTTTCTGCCTCCTCACAGCAGAAAATCAATACTGCACGCTGGAGGGGGGAGACAGAGAGTTAAAACGTCCTCCTCACACGGGTGAGTAAACACCACCTCTGTGCTAGGGACAGTGCAGCGCAGACCTGCAGGCTGCAAGACAGACTACAAATAAAAACCCGTCCCTGAGCAAAGGGGCAGGGGGAGGGCTCAGCCCAAAGTTAGCACGGCAGAGCCCTTTGCCTCATATAATTTCATTTCTGTGCCGCTGCAGATCAGTGTGTGCCTGCGAAATTGCATAATGTGCCATTTACCCAGCTGTTATTCCAGCAAATCTATTCTTTGCACACTGATTTGCCCGCCTGCCTAATGAATCCACAGGAAGGGAGGGAGGGAGAAGCAAAGTTTTCACCCTGACAGTGTGTTCTGGGCCACTCCTTCACCTCAATCTACCTGCCCCTCCCACACTTAGAGAAAATCATAGGCCTCAAAGCGCCAATGAATAGGAGCTCTGCGTGGGTCTTTCTTTACTCTGCGCTCACCACTTTCTGGGAGAGAGATATGTTTTTCATGTCCTTTGTGACTTAACCTGCTTCTGTCTCCTCCCGAGGTCTAAAACAAAGGTTCCTTTCCTCTGGGCTTCTCCCTTGCTGCTCTCCTGTTTCTTCTCAGTTCCTCGGGTATTTCTGTCTTCTCCCCACATTGAGTCAGATCCGAGTATGGGTTGCAGAAGGCTTCCAAAGTCGTCACTAAATACTAAAGGTAGGCAGGCTCCGACAGCTCTCAGCAGCCCACATCCTCAGGCGAGTATTTTTCCGCTACACTGATGATAAAAGGTAAGTACGTTCCTTTGCTGGGAACCATCTAAAAGGGGAGCTTTAAAAACAAAACACTGCTAGTTCCCAGGGACAAAATTCGCATTTTTCTTCGTGCCACCACAAAGCTCTTCAACACCCCAGTAGAAGGGAATCCTAATTACTCATGGCATTCCAGATGAGCGGTGAGAAGCAAAAAAGGGAGCTGGTGAACAAAGACGAGGGACTGGGGAACCGAGCCCCATGTGAATCAGGGGCTCAGAAGTCAGAAGCAGCTGTTACTGCCTTTTTCCACCAGAACTCCATGAGCCCGGCTCACAGGAAACCACTTACTTGTTTTTGTTGATCTTTCTCACTATTAACTAAACCAGAATGCAAAAGAATTTCTGAACTATTAATGTCTCCTAATATTAAACTATGTATGCCTATGGACTATTTAGGTTATAACATATAAATAAAGGGAAACGCACATGTGTATGGATTTATGCCGTAGACATGTTTTTGGAAAAGTGGATGCAGAACATTCTATAAATCCAAGCCCTTGGGATCTTCATTTTAAAAAGACATTTGATCGTGTATCTATTTATAAAGCACAGAACATTACTGGTAATGTGGTTTTTCTCGTGCATTCCCCCCCCCAAGATTCTTTCATTTTAAAATGAGCATAGTAGTGTATTTCTTCAAATAGAAAATTTGGAAAATTTTTGTAGATTCCTGTCCCTCTATTGCAGTGCTCATTAATCATTTATGATTCCAAGTTCTGGAATAATCCCAGACATAACTCCTGAATTCCACACAAGCCCTTTAGTTTCACATGCTCAGGAAAATGTAGCAACCCCACTTCAGACTAGAGCATACTTATAAATGTGGGAAATAATCTGAATTTCATCCTGATCACTCAGCAACCCGCCCCCCCTTCTCCCTCTCTTTCAAGAATATCGATATTAATTCACTTTGTGAGTTTTCTTTTCTTTCTTTCTTTTTTTTTTTTTTTTTATTTATTTGACAGAGAGAGACACAGCGAGAGAGGGAACACAAGCAGGGGGAGTGGGAGAGGGAGAAGCAGACTCCCCGCGGAGCAGGGAGCCCGATGCGGGGCTCGATCCCAGGACCCTGGGATCACGACCTGAGCTGAAGGCAGACGCTTAACGACTGAGCCACCCAGGCGCCCCAACAGTGAGTTTTCTAATAATCGGGGCTTCCTAAAAATGAAATACGCTTCCTGTTGAACAATTTTCTTCTCAGTGAGGATATTGTGGTACAATCTGGATGACCATTCATCAGCTATGTTGCAAAAGTACCTTAGATATTGAAGTTGGTATTAGCCAACCAGTAAGATGATTTTTTTAAAGTGTGTGTGTATGTGTATGTGTTTTTTTTCTTGTGGTAAAATACACCTAACATAAAAATGGTGACATTTAGTCCGTTCACAATGCTGTGCAACATCACCACTGCCTAGTTCCAGAACATTTTCATTACCCTAAAAGGAAATCTGTACCCATTAAGCAGTCCCTCCTTCTCCTCCCTCCCTGCCTTCCCAGCCCCTGGCAACCAGTAATCTGTTTTGTATCTATCTCTAGGGATTTGTCTGTTCTGGATATTTCATATAAATGGAATCATATTTTATGGGGTCTTCTGAGTCTGGCTTCATTCTCTCTGCTTCAGCAACCCTTCTGGGTGTAAATCATCTCTAGTTAATTGCTTTGAGATCCATCTTTCATTTCCATCTTCTCTGTTCCCTTCCCAGGCTCTGGTCTGTGTGGTTTGCATCATGGCCAGGGATTTGCCACCCCCCCCACCCCGCCCCTGCCCGCCACGGAGCGCCCTAGGGGCACCACGCTGACAGCCCTCCTGTCACTCCTTGTTTCAGGTCTGACTGGGGCTGCCTGTGGAGAGAGAAGAGGAGCAAATCATCCTCAAACTTTTTCATATTTTCCAAACGTTTTCGTATTTTAAAATAAAATGTGAGAGGCGCTTTTTCCCTTCTTGACAAATTTAAATGATAATTAGCTGGTAACAGAAAATCTCCCCTGAAGTGTCACAGTGTGCTTGTACTTAACAGAGCCACCCTCAGATCCGCACCCCAGATTGGCTCTAAGTAGAACACTTGCTTATGTCCAAAGAGCTGTCACTGCTTCCTTCATTCCAGACGTTCATCGTTGGGCAAGGTACGCGCATCACACCTGCATCCCCTTCAGGTTAACAGAAGCGACACAATGAAGAGCAGACTGTCGTATGCCCGGGGCCATGCTGGACTCCAGGTGAGAAGATCCATGCTCCAATCACATGGCTGCCATTTATGAATGACATAACAGTGACCAAGTCACTGGACAGTCTGAACCTTAGGTTTAAAAGGAAAGTTTTGTTTGTTTGTTTTAAAGATTTTATTTATTTATTTTAGAGAGAGCGAGAGAGAGCAAGAGCAAGTGGGGGGAGGAGCAGAGGGAGAGGGACAAGCAGACTCCGTGCTGAGCTCGGAGCCCTGCATGGGACTCCACTCAGGACTCAACTGGGGGCTCACCCCACGACCCTGAGATCATGACCTGAGCCGAAATCAGGAGAAAAAAGGAGGGAAAGTAGGGAGGAAGGAAGGAGGCAGAGAAGGAGGAAGTTAGCTAGTTTCAGTTGGGAGAAGCTTCTAGACTGGAAAACACAACATTCCCAAGGTTACACATACTAGGGAGTAAATTTGCTTCGCGACGGGCATGAATTAAAAGCATAATCATGGGTGCCTGGGTGGCTCAGTCAGTTAAGCAACTGCCTTCAGCTCAGGTCATGCTCCCAGGGTCCTGGGAGCCACCTGGGCACCCCAGAAGGAAGGTTGTTTTAAACAGTGGCTAATCTCACCAGATTGTTGCCAAGATCAAAGCCAAGAAAAACAACCACATACAGGTAAGGTCTTTGTAGTGACCCTATTCCCCAAGTGTCTGCTAACATGTAAGCATCGTCCAAGCAGGAACTTTACCATATTTTCTGCTTCCCTGTCTAATATATCACTCACGACAGTAAACACTCAGCAAGGTTTTAATGAACTAGTGAAAGAAAGAAAGAATACTATGATTATCAATAGCCAAGGTTATAAATTAGCCTGTAATGAGCATCATTTATTGGCAACAACCAGGATCATTGAGGGCCAAGTTGTCACAAGGTAGTGTCTTACTCTGTTTTATTTCTTCTAAATGATACTCGACTTGGAAAGGAAGTGAGAAACGTTGTTCTAATGTAGAGAATAGGAAAGTAAGAGGTAACTTCAATTCGAGATGGGCTTTTGTCACGAGCCTAAGAAACCTCACTCAAAATTTACTCCTCCCCAGTTCCTTCTTCCTGGTTTCTACCCACACTGTGATTATGCTTTTTTTTTTTTAAGATTTTATTTATTTATTTGACAGAGAGAGAGAGAGAGCACAAGCAGGGCGAGTGGCAGGCAGAGGGAGAGGAAGAAGCAGACTACCCACTGAGCAGGGAGCCCGACGTGGGGCTCGATCCTAGGACCCTGGGAGCATGACCTGAGCTGAAGGCAGTTGCTTAACTGACTGAGCCACCCAGGCACCCATGATTATGCTTTGAATTCATGCCCATCGCAAAGCAAATTTACTCCCTAGTATGTGTAACCTTGGGAATGTTGTGTTTTCCAGTCTAGAAGCTTCTCCCAACTGAAACTAGCTAACTTCCTCCTTCTCTGCCTCCTTCCTTCCTCCCTACTTTCCCTCCTTTTTTCTTTCTTTATTGTTTTGGTGGTAACTTTTAAATTTTTTTGTTTTTATTATTATTATTTTTTAAGATTTTATTTTGTTTATTTGAGAGAGAGAAAGAGCACAAGAGCGGGTAGGGACAGAGGGAGAAGCAGAATCCCCGCTGAGCAGGGAGCCCGCTGCGGGGCTCAATCCCGGGACCTTGGGATCATGACCTGAGCCAAAGATATTTTGGCTCATAATCACAACACTGTTATTACACCTAACAAAATAATAATCTCTTTTCATCTGTTTTCATTTCAATCCCTCTTTTCACTCCACATTCTAATTTCTCTAAAAGAATCAAAATGTCCTTTTACATTTAGTTTGTTTAATTCAAGGTCCACGTGTGACCTTTAATGTATTGGGGACAGAAACTTTGTATTTTGTTACTCTATTTCTTGGTCTTAGTGCAGCTCGTACTAACTGCTTGGTGGACACTCAGGAAAGTGTGTTTTTTTTTCCATGGGACAGACATTTATTGACTCCCTCTATGTCCCAAACAATGTCTTAATTGCTGGTGATGCAATATTAAGACAGTGGGCGCCTTGGTGGCTTGGATGGTTAAGCGACTGCCTTCAGCTCCGGTCATGATCCTGGAGTCCCAGGATTGAGTCCCACATCTGGCTCCCTACTCAGCAGGGAGTCTGCTTCTTCCTCTGACCCTCCCCCCCCCATGCTCTCTCTCTCACATAAATAAATAAAATCTTAAAGAAATATATTAAGACATGCTTTTTGTCCTCAAAACCTCAAAATTTAAGTGAAGTGAAATGAACATTTAAGTAAATGAATGAAGACTGTCAAGGTAAACCTATCAAGCCATTGTCTGCTATTTTTCCTTCAGAGAAAGCTTTGAGGTGGAATTTGATTTTCCTAATTTTCCTAATAGCAGAATCAATTAATCATTTCATATAGCTAAAAACACAGATCTGAAGTTCCATTACACGAGCAAGACTTCAGAAAATTTGCTGAACACAAATTATTTTTTGTTGTTGGTCCGAAGCTACTCTTTATGTTTTACTTTCAGAAACTGGATATTTAAATATTAGGTCATCCCACTCAATGGCAAAACAACACATTATTTAGTGGGTTTCTGTTCTCCACAAGATAAAGGGCCCCCTCCTGAAGCAGTCTGCCAGACCCTATATATGGCAGCCTCATCTCCTTCTCCAGACTCATCTCCTGCCTCACATCTTAGGTTCCACCAAAACTGAACAGCTAATGTTACCCTACCTCGAAGTCTTCCCATATTTGCCCCATAGTTCATGTCCTTGGCCCCCTCCAGGCTCTGCTTATGCTCAGGAATATTCCACCTGCCCTTTTCCTGTCCTCTTTCCCCTTTACATGGCACATCATTTAAAATTCAGTTCAGGTGTTCCTTCCTCCAAAAAGCCTTCCAGATTTCAATGGATACCCCTCCTTGGGCTTCTTGGACACCATATATAAATCTCGTTTAGTACATAGCCCTCCATGCTGAAATAATATGCTGTCCGGCCTCTCTCTCCTTCCCTCCCCCTAAACCAGACATGACCCTGTCCAGGACCAGAACTATGTACCCTGCATCTCAGTTTCCCCAGGCACAGCCGAGGCCTGGCAATGGGAAGTCCTCAAGAATTCTTTAGCCAGAATTACTGGAAGATGACAACAGGAATAAGGGAGACAGTTACAAAATGTTAAGAGATAAAAATCATGATGTTCTTTTCAATCACTTTGTGATGCTGGAGCTGGAAACCTGTAAGGGAATGTTCTAGTGTAACTCTCTCATTTGGCAGTTGAGGAAACCACAGCTGAGAGAGAACATGATCATGAGGGTTCATGGTCAAGTAGCGTGTCACTCAGGACCCAACAGGAAAGAGACAACATGCCTGAATGAGATCATTCCAGGATGGTGTGTTTGTTTGTTTTACCAAAGGACTGAGAATGGGGGCAGGTGTAGGACAGAGATAGCTCAGTCACCTGAAGCTATAACTAGCACGGGAGTGGTTAACCATTCCTCGGGCTAGAGTGACTCGTCCCCATTTGCCCAGGACTGTCTTGGTTTTAGAACTCAAAATCCCGTGTCCTGGGAATAGCCTCAGTTCCAGCAAACCAGGAAAATTGATCACCCTACCTAGAAGGAAGGGAATGGTGATTAAAACCTGAAAAGAAAGACAGTCCCCTTAAGAGAAAGCAGTGATCTTAGGACAGGGCCAAACTTAACCCAAAGTGACCTCACAGGGAGGAGGTCAGGGAATAGGAACCCTGCCTTCACTCTACTCCCTTCTTCTAACCTCTTGCAGAGACTCTGCATGGGGCTCCCCACGAGCCAGAGTCAACCAGAAGCCAGGTCCACACGGCCAGCCTCCCGGGTCAGAGAGCAGAACAGAGAAGGGAGTGCCCCTGGAGCAGCAAACAGCACCAGCCCAGGCCTCGGGCACACAAAAGAGCCTGAGGATGATGCCCAGCTCCCCACCTGGGAGGGACTCACAAGTCCTGAGGCAAGGAACAAGATGGTATTACACAAATCCGCAAACCCTTTCCATGATTCCCAAACATTTCCAACAAAATGGGCCTGGGGGGAAGGGTTTTTTTAAATTCTTCTGTTCCCCTCTGGCTCCCATCCCTTCTTCAGGCTGCGAGCCACCTTGCCATCCCATGAATGTCATCTCTGTCAGCACTGCGCAGATCCAGACCTAAAATGCAGCGCCCTCCTCAAATTCCACAGAAAGCATCCACTCACAGCGGATAGATTTGGTGTTCAGTAGATTGCACTGAAGACTTAGAGGGAGTCCAAAGAAGAGTTTACAACATAAAGAACATCAAGTTCAACAAGACACCCTTGTCCTTGGAAGCCCTTCCGGCGCCCTAGCCATGTGGAACGCTTCAAGGACCACCTAATGCCCTATATTTCCACCGCCTCCCACCAAGTCCTCCTGCCTCTCCCTCGTCTCCCCCTTCCTCTCATACTCTTCTACAACAGCACAGAAATGCCCCACGGGGAGCAGTTCACCATTTCCTTCTGGGCCTCTGCAGGACCAGTCAACACGCAAGCCCTCCAGCTCTCAGCTTCGTCCCTGAGAGACTTCGTGGAGGGCTCTGCCTGCCAGAGCCAGCTCCCTTCCAGTGATAAATTCTGCTGCGGGCTGTCCGCCGAGAAGTTTTCAACCTCCTGTTGTACATTATTCTAGAGAAAGCAGTTGATGTTAGTATAATCCTTTGAGAAGTTTATTAATCAACTTGCACGAAAAAGCCTGTATCAATGGCTTTCTTGTCTCGTGGAATTCAATTCTCCCTTTGAACATGTCACAGTGCAGTGCCCCTCTCAGAGTTAGCATAGTTGAGCATCTTGTGATCGCTGGAGTAGCTAGCCCAGCCACGGCATACTGAGCTCGTCTTTTTGTTTCAAAGGCTGATTCAGACAGCTTAGGATCTCAGCTCTTTAAAATTACATTGACATGAATCGTACTGCCTACAAGCTGCCACTCCTGGTGTAATTTTGATTTCCAGATCCTACAAGGTTCTGTATCTTAAAGAGTTATATTCAAAATGCCTTTGCACACCTGGACCTTTTAGTGACTGAACGTTTGCCCTTAACGTAGGGGCAATGGTGAACAAAAGGCCAAGTCCTTTCAGGAATGCTCAGAGTGTGAGAGAGAGGCTTCCTTTTTCAGGACTGCTAGACTTGACATAGAAAGCCAAAGGGAAGAGGATGCATCTGGCTCAGAGCACTGGGGAGCTGCTTCCGGTTTACGGTTTCTTTTGTAGATAATAAGAGAATGCACTCACTCACAGCTTGACTTCAACGTGGCAAAGAATCCAAAGGAGACTCAAGTGTGAAAGGGCTGGGGACAAATAAAATTGCTAATAGTTCATTTAAATCACAGAGTATGGGATTTCAGAGCCTCTGCATAGGTCGCCTTAACCCAGACTTAAATGTTATATAGATATTTTCATCTTTAGAACTTACTGTCAGCCTTACTTTTGCTGTCTTATTTACCAGATTTGGTCAATTGTAGAGATTCTTATAGACTAAGCATAATTTGAAATTATGTCTCTTCCTAGACTATTATCCACACATCTTATTGTTCAGTTGTAGAAGTATTTTGCATTTCTTCAACTTTATAAACCACACATACAGAGTTAGAGAGGCATAAAGGAACAGAGTTCTGCTAGAGAGCATTCCTAGACTCATGCACTAGCTCTGTTAATGAGAGTGTGAACTTTGGTTATTGAATCTTAGTTACAGTTGAATGGCTTTTAGCTGTAGATTATCAAAACACCACCAGAAACACCCATCACTAAGGAAATAATAAATATCCTTATGGTTTAAGCTCCTTTTAGCTGGGTTTCCAATTATGTCAAAGTGCTGGATCCAGCATCCCTGCAATTCTCTGGAGGAGAGACCTTTCCCTCATGGTCACAGGATGGCTGCCACAGCCGTAGTCATCCCACAAGGCTTTAGTTAAAGGCAGGAAGCAGCTGGGTAATCGGGGTCATTAGAAAGCACTGTCCTTATATACCACTCTCTTACTGTCAGTGTGGAAAATTCCTTCCCAGGAACCCTTCCATGCCAGCACACTTCTTTTACCATTCATCAGCCTGAAAAAGGTCTAGTATCAAGGGAGGCTGGGAAAGTGGGTAGTCTTATCAGACTTTATCATGGCAGGCAGACACTAGAGAAAGGATGTAGACATAGCTGGGACAGTGGCCACTCCTAAAAAACTGCTATTACCAAATGGCACCCCTTTAAAGAAAATTCTCCAGAGCTGCTATTTAAAGCTTTATCAGAGCCTCATGACTCTGTAATAATATAGAAGCATATGATAAATGAAGCAGTATCCTGCATAATTCAAATGGTGACTATAGGAAAACCTTCCTATAGGGAAATAATTTAGAAAGAAAGCCAGAAAATGGAATACGGGAGAAGATTCAGAAGTGTTTCAAGTCGCCTACCAAATGGTATCCTGGTCCTTTCACCCTCCAGGAGATCACTTACTAATAAATCACAAGCGGAAGACTGAGCAGCAATTCTCTCACAAAATCTTAACATGCCCTGAGTTAGGATTAGCTTGTCCTGGTGAATTTAAATGGGACAACAAACTGGTAAAAGTCTGTGTGTCTTTCGTTCCAGATATCTCCCTCCCCTCCCAGCAGCCACTCCTGACTGAGTCCGCTTGCTGAGCACAACCCCAGTGGGATTTGGTGTATAAAGCTGAATTAGTCAATGCAGAAATTTAGCTCCAGCTTAACTGAAAGCATTTGGTAACTTGTAGAGACACGCATCATGATAGAAATGTCACCAACTTGGCAGACATAAATGTCTGAAAGAAAACATTCCAATAGAATATACTGAAACACACAAAATCCCAGCGACACACCAGGCTTTCCAAAGCAATCCAAGCCTATCCAGGGGGTGGAAAGATCGGAGAGATAAAAATGATGTAAGATACTTAATATTAAATTCCAAATTAGTGCCTCTACACTAGTGTACGGAAATGCCTCATCTGGGGTTGTGGGAAATGTCACATTTGTGCTAAGCGAATTTAAGATAGGTATTCATTAAATGCTTTTTGATCGACTAGTGGTAGGATGTTTTTCTACCAGGAAATATCCATCAGCTTCTTGACTTGCTCACTGTGAACAGAGAGCAAGCCAATCAAATCCAGGTGTATAACATTTTCCCCGGAGGTTTAACATCTGCCTACCCCTGCTATTCATTTAGCTAATAGACACGAAATCAGAGGAGAACCCCCAGAGGCCTGTCCCTTGCTTTCTTTCCTGGACATTGGAGGGAACATAGAAAATGCAGGCCAAAATATGAGCAAATAAGAGTGGAGACCCTCCACCAGTGGTTCTCAACCAGGGACATTTGGCCCCTCGAAGGGGATATCTGGCAATGTCTGAAGATGTTTTTGGTTGCCACCACTGGGGTGGGGGAGGCTGTTGGCACCTAGTGGGTAGAAGCTAGGGATACACCCATAGATTGTCATTTAAATATCTAGTTGGCATCTCAAATTTAGCATGTTTAAAACTGAACTCCTACACTATTGCCCCAATAGTGTACTCCATCCTCCTGATTGTTCAGACCAAAAATGTAGGTGTCCTCTGTGACTCTCCTCTCTCACATCCCACATTCCATAGTTCAGGACATATATCCAGAATCAAATCATGTCTTGCTCCCTCCACCATATTAATCTGAATCAAGCTCTCCTCAGCGTTCCCCTAGATTATTGCAAGCGTTTCCAAATGGCCTCCCCACAGCTGATCTTCACCAGATCAGCCAGAGTGATCCCATCACAAATAAGTCAGATCTTATACATTCTCTGCTGGGATCCCTGCAATGGTTCCATCCCACCCAGAATCAAAACCGCAGTCCTGCTAGCATGCTGGGAGGCACTGCCCATCCTGGCCCACCCCTATCTGCTGGGCCTTCTCTCTCTCTCTCTCTCTCTTCTACTCCGGACTCCAACCTCTCCAGCCCACACTGCCTTTCCTGGCGCCCTTTGCCTCTGTTGCTCCCCCTACTGGAACGCTCCACTCTCACAAACGTCACCTCCTCCCTCTTCTATTTAAACTTGCATCCTCCCCTACCCCACACTCACATTTGCCCTTCTCTGCTTTGTAATCTGACACACCACTGGTGTTAATACTGCTTTGCTTCTCTTCCCCCACAAGAATGAAAAAAAAAAAAAACCAACTTTATGAAGGTAAGAATTTTGGTCTTTTTAGTGCACTACTTTATTCCCAACAACTACATCAGTGTTTGAGGCACAGTCGGCCCTCAGTAAATATTTATTAAGTGAATAAATGAATGAATGAGTGAGTGAATGGACTGTCAGAACACACACACATCTTCCAGTAAAAGACAATAATTCTGGGAGGGATGATCTAATTTAATAGAAGAAAAGGCAAGCTCTTCACGAATGTCACCTAATCGGCACAGCCTTCCTATCTAAACGTGGATTCGTGGATTCACCATTTCCCATCAGTTTGCAGAGCAGCTTCACTTCCCCTTTCCTGGTTTCATACAATGGCCAGGAGCAAGCAGATCCGTAGAAAATAAATGTCATTAGAATACCTGTCTGACAGAAACTTTATTGTCTACCACCTCTATTTGCAGAAAGACCCGGTGCAAACAAATTATTCAGCAGAATGCTCTCCCCAGCACTCCGCAAACTCTTTGTCAGCTGAAGGGCTGTAGAGGAAGAATTGATTTTTAGGTTGTCCAGAGAAAGCGTTCAAGGTGTTGGGATGGAAGGAAGGCTCTTCCAGATGCGTATCATTTGGCCTCAGCTCTGTTTAGAGAGTATATTTTAAATGTGAAGTAGTCCCAAGAGATCCCTTGCTTCCATCCAAACAGGTAGACCGTGTGTCCTGAGGTCTGTGTGGTTCCTCAGATCTTGGGGTCAAGTTCCTTAATCTCTCAGAGCCTCTGTTGGCTCATCAGCAATATTGAAATGGTAATAATATCTTAGTGCCTGCCTGGATTGGAGATGGTACTCTGTCCAGACTGAGCCTTACTTTATATCTTTGGCACAGAGAGAAGGAAGTTGTAGGACTCCAGGAGCCAGAAATCAGTCAAGAAAATTTTCTCTTTCTTTATTTCTCATCCAAGAAAATGCTATAAAAATTCAGATATTACCCTCCCTGTTCCCATCTCTCTGCCAAAGTTGGAATACTTTGCTGTCTAGCAGTCCCAAGCCTCTCAACTGGAACAGTTCACTTGGTCAGAAAGAAGGACCCAGAAGAGTTTGCTTGCAACCAACCCTCAGACAGCTTAGACGTGATGTGGCAACTGATTTGAAGGCAGAGAATGTTCTGGTCTTGAATAGATCCCCGAGTAGAAACGGTGGACCAGCAGAGACAGCCAGTCTTACCTCTCTCTCGTCACTTGGGATGCATTTATTTTTTGTTCTCCTCTTTAGTAGAGATGTGGAAAGAAACTAGCGTACTTATAGCATACACTATCCCAGAAAATTAACAAACATTGCATATTCTTTTCTCTTTTATACTACACATGGTCTATCTTCTGGGAAAGGGCACAGAGATCTTTATAGTATCTTCACTAAGAAAAGCAGCGATCATCACAGCCTGTTAACTCTATCTGCTTTCTAGGAAAAAAAAAGGGGAAAAAAAGAAATTACATGGTGAGTATACACGGTGGGCGTTGAAGCCGGGATGTACTTAAAGTCCATGAATAGGATTTCACCATGGGAGCTAAATAATTACATATTTCATTGCGTACTATGAGGTTTTAGTGAAATCGATATATAAATGGTTAGCTCAGTGTCTAAGCACCCTGTGCACGTAGATGCTAGTTCTCTTCTGCCCTTTTCTTTTATATTCATATCAGAATGATGGGTAGTGAAGTTGAATACTTTAACAACTCCCTAACATCTCTTACTGCCTCTAAAAATGGGGGCAAATATGGTGATGCCCTTTATTTAGAAGCAAGCAAGAGTGGGGTGAGGCAGGGGCTGATGGGGAAAAGATTTGTTCTCTCTGTAGACTGGTGTCGATATATGTACATGATGTCATATGGACAAGTTAGAGAAATAATAGGTGAAAATCTATTAAGACACTTCATTAACCATAGAAATTATTAAGTTAGTCCTCATTAATAGAGAAACAATTAAATGAATGATGATACATCCCTACCATAAAATACCAAGCAGATGTTACCAAGAATGAGATAAACCTCAATGTAGAAATCTGATCCTATTTACATATATATATATGTATGATCCTATTTATATATATCTATATACATATATACACATATATGTATATATACATAAGTCCGTGTGCTTGTGCAATAAGTGTGTCTATCTGAAAGAGCACAATTCAAGTCGTTAAACATGGAATGTGTGGTGGGAGGAGAAAAATAGATTTTCACTTTTTATGTTACACATGTGGCAGAAACACATAATTCTCATTGACTATCCATATGATCCTCCATTTTCCCACGCAGTTGGGTGAAATCATGTGACTGGTTTCTGCCCTTGAAATGTGAGCTGAAGTAGCATTCATCACTTTCTGTCTGGGGTACTTAAAGTTGTGAGTCCTCCAAGCAATCTCCCTACCACAAAATGGAAGCAGCCTAGATTGCTATGTTACCCAAGTAGGACAGTTTCCCAGGAGCCCCTTAACTTGAACTAAAAATGTAGCATGAGTGTCTCTGTGTGTGTTGT